ATGTCGGAAAATTAACAAAATTAAATTTGATTTATATTGAAGAGTTCAACTTTTAATTATACTAAAGCTTTTTGTAATAATAGTAATACTCCAGCAATTTTTACGTTAACACACTAAACTCTTTTTATTTTTGTTTAAAAATTGTGAAGTCTTTCGTTTGGAGTGCAGATAACTAAATCAAAAATGTCAAAATCTATACCTAATTGATGGAGCGAGAAGGGCATTTTTCAATTTTATCTTAATTCAATAGTCAATACAGTATGAAGAATAATTACTTAGCACTACAGCTTAGAGATATTCAACTTCATGCGTAAGTGAAAGATCTTAAGTTTGATTATTAAATTGCGAGTTCACTAAGAAGTTATTATGACGAGCTTTTTATGATGATTTTTTGGGGTACGTCCGGAGTACTCCCCAAGAATTTTTGCTTATTAGCTGAGTCCAATTTCACACTCTTTATTGTAAATATACTATTGTAGTGAAAACAAAAATAACAGTTGAAAAATATGGTCAATAATACTTGCTGGACTCTACAGTTCAGAGACTTTCTTGAGTGCTTCGAAGTATTCATTTTAAATGTTTTAACAATTAAATCTTTATTTAAAAAAAAAACATCAAAATCTAAAAGTTAAAATACGCAAGAGACCGTGTAAAGTGTAAACACAGCAACCCAAACCCAATGAGGTTCCGTTAAAATATTAGCAAAGCTAATGAAAAAAATTTGAAATATTTGAGTTTTAACGAAAATAACAAAAATGTGTTGTAAATGAATAGTATTAGGATTAACTTTTTAGAATAAAAATGTGATTTTTCGTTAAGGTGAATAGTACCGGAAACTTTTCGTTAAAGTTCTCTCAAATATTTTGCATCACACATTGAGGGAGGGGAGAGGTGATTTCATATTTTACCACTGTCAGGCTCTTTTCTTTGAGACATCACTCACAAGAAGCAAACGATTCCACTGCATTTCAGGTAACACATGTTGAGGAATACTACGCTCGTTCGCCGCTACATGATCGAGTCTAAGCCCGCATGAGGTGTTTGAACCTCAAAACCTCATTCCGTGACACTATGATGCATCGACAACTTAAGATTGCCCAAACATTCGTCAATAGCAATGAAAAATTGATGCATTGTAGTATTCATAATGCATTATGAGTACTACTATAATGCATCAAAAACTCAAAATCACTCACACGCTTATGGGTTTTTAAGCCGGTGAAATTCAACTGATATAAAAGCGATCAAAATATGTATCAGTAGCTTGAAGGCAATAATGTCTTGGAATTTGGATACCCTTAACAAAAAAGGAAAGAAAGTACATTTTTATCTTTGGAAAATTAAAGTGCCTATGGATTAGGTTGGTGACATGCTGTTATGGTTGGTAGTGGTAAAACCTACAGCTATATTATCCCAATTTCACAAAAAAGCCAGTCTTAGGGGCCCACACCAAAAGTGAAGGTAGAAATTGGATCCAACAGGATCCTCTCCGGATCTCTTTGGTGAGAATCTTGAAGATTCATGAATTATGTCTATTCGTCGTATATCGTGCGATTATTTTTTATCAAGTATTGTTTATGTTTATTTTTAAATAAAAATATTTAAAATAATTTCTGATATACGATAAATAAACACGATTTACGAATTTTCGAATTCTTTCCCAATCGACAATCTTAGTGCCACGACAAAATCTAGGGCCATAAAGCTAAACCGTAGGCCCTACTGATCGAACAGTGGTGAGTCACAGTGACTCAATCATTCGACGCGCCTTGTATCGCTGATCGCGTTAGGCAGAAAAGATGAAACAAGATGGACGGCCGTGATTTCATGAGACCTGCACCGTGATTTCACACGCCCTGGATTCGACTTGCGAGTTCACAAAGTTCCTTTCCTTCCCTCATCTCCTTCATCCAACGACCGAGTGAGTGAGACCTTCGTCTACCTCAAAACTCACGTTTTCAGAAATTTCACTGCATTTCTCAGATTGGAGCTTTATGTAACGATCGGAGTTGTTGCGGTTTTCGAAAGATCGGAGTAGTTTTGCTTTTGGGTTTCGTCTCTTTGGTAATTGCTCTGAACCCCCAAAAGATTTGAAATTTCTGATAACCCAAATTGTAATTTGTGTTTTTGTTGTGGAATTTTCCTTTTTCTCATTGTTTTTGAGGACTTGTTGTTAGAATTTGTATAAATGGCCGCCATTGCGTTGTGTATTAGTAGAAAAATGGGGTTTCAGATGCAAATGACGAGATGGGTATGTATGTTTTTGCAAGAAAAAGTGGAACTTTTTGTTGAGGAAGAAGATTGATACTGATTGAGAGATGGGTCTACATTTTTAGAGTCAAATTTTTGTTAGAGACTGCTGGCTGAGATTACTGTCAGCTCAACATCTGTTTTTCTTATGATTTCTAGGCTTTTAGATTAAAAATTGTTAGCTTCAATTTCGGGGGTTTTCCATTTAAAACTAACTCTTTCGAGTTTGGGGAATTTCTCAAATAATTAGTGTCCGTTGTGTAATTGGTTTTTCTTTTGGCCGATGGATTAATGCTACTATCACTTAGCTGCCCGTCTGCGTGTTTTCCTTCTTGTAATCATCCTATGTTTTCGGATGGAACTTTGCTTTTCTTTGTTCATGATCTTGTGGTCTTCTATCAGTTTCAGATGGATGCAGCCTCACAAAGTTTCTTGGAAGAGTTGCTTCGGTCCGCTGTCGACAATCATGAGGATAGTGGTGTGGTAAATGAACATTCTGGGCAGCCTGCAACGTGTACGCTATGCCAAAGGGCTATTTCACCCGAGAATGAGGCGACTGGAGATGTTGAAATTATGTGTGGGGACTGTAAATTTCTGTACCTTGAAGATCTTGGTTCCCCCTCACATGATTCTTATCAGAGGACGCCGCCTACAAGAAGAAGAGCTAGGACTGGGAGTTCCGAGTCACTTGAGAATACTTTTTCACAACAATTCTCGCATATGATTAATCTGGTGCGGCAGAACCAATCCCCTGGCTCTGGGATTGAGGAATTACCTGTGGGTGGTGATTCTGCTGCTAGGATACCGCTGCGCACAAGTAACCGTACTACACCAAGTGGGTCTAGAAGATGGCGGCGGGTGCTCTCTGATACCGAAAGTGAGGGTTACGAAAATGTGGATTCTTTCTATGGAGAAACTGAATCAAATCTCAGTTTTGGTCGGTACAGGGTATTTCATGGTGAGAGCGATGCAATTTCTTTAAGTGCATATGGAGGGGATTCTGATGCTTCTGTGGACCTACATGGTTTCCTGGATACTGAAACGATTATTCCACCAGATGATGGAAGTGCTTATGATAGTGATACTGACATTGATCCAATGCATGCTGGTCTTAGCCAGTGGAACTCAGATGACACTGAGGACGATGATGATGAGGGGGATGAAGAAGATGATGAGTGGGAAGAAGCCGACGTTGAAGTAAACATGGTTGAATCTAGAGAAACCCCAGGTGGCCGGCTTCGTAATCTTTTAGTTTCGCGTCCAGGCAGAAGTAATGGACCATCCATTGGGCGCCACCATACTTATTTTCCTGATTCTGAGGGTACGTTTCATTGGAGAATGAGGAGGAGGAGTCAAATATATACCCGTACCCTCTTTTCTAACGTGGACGAATCAGAGTTGCTGCCTTATGATGGAAATTCTGGTGATTATCTTGATGCTGGAGGCTTTGAAGAATTGCTCGAGCATCTTGCTGAGGTTGATAGCTTAAGACGAGGAGCTCCTCCAGCTTCTGCGTCCTTTGTGAATAATCTGCCTTGTGTTGTCATTAGCAAGGAACATGACAAGCATGATGACTTAGCCTGTGCAATTTGCAAAGATGTATTAACAATTGGTACTGAAGTGAATAAGCTTCCCTGCTCTCACCTCTATCACTCTTTGTGTATTTTGCCATGGTTGAGTACACGGAATACTTGTCCACTCTGTCGATATGAGCTACCGACTGATGACAGAGACTACGAAGAGGGGAAACGGAACGTTAGTGCTAGAGCAGAGATCCACAATGTCGGGCAGCAGAATGCAAGTGTGGACAGTTCCTCCGGTGCTTTCAACAGAGCTTATGAAGATGAGGAGCATGAGCAGAGTGCAGCAAATAGGGAACCAACCGCTAATGGCTCAAGAGGAGAAAATAGTCGGGGGAGATGGTTTCTTCTCGCTGCTGCTCCAATTGTCAGTCTTGTGGGTATTGTTCTTGTGCTGTGGTTAGGAAGTCCGCTCTTGGAAAGAAGAGGTCTGGCAGGAAACCAGAACTTCGCCAATCAGGCCCGCCACCAGAGTCCTATCACCGGCGCCTCACCCAACCACAGGGAGAACAGAAGCCGGAGATGGTGGTCACTTTTCTGAGGAGGGTTCGTGAAATGTTAGTAAATATCTATGCTAAGTTTGGTATTTCTGCTTTCCCGAGTCCCGACTATTGTCTATTTGCCTGTAGCTGTCGTTCTGTTGCAGATCTTCAGTGAGTTTTTCGAATTGTTGTAGAATCGTGTCAAAATTCGGTCCCTTGTAAGTGTGGCTCATCACCTTTTATGACCAAATGTGAGTTTAGTTTTCTTTGTAATAGAGGTTGAAGTTCAAAATGCGAACAGCAAGTTTCTTCGTTTCGATTCAACATTGAAAGGAGAAATATCATTAGACGAAGTTCTAGTTTGTTTTTTGACACCTGATTTACATTTAACATAGCTAAAGGTCGCACATTGACCAAAGTCTAACTTTTTAAGATCACCGCCAAAACTCGTAGCTTTTAAGAAAACTTTGTAGCTCAAGTAGTTAAGAGATTTTTGAATAAATTTTAGTGGTATTCGATCTCCCCTCTCCACGTTGCTTGCTTGAAATATAAATAAGTAAAATTACTTTGCAAGGCATCAAAGCATTCACCCACCGCAAGTTTGAATTCTCTACCCGATAGTTTAGATTATAATATCGCTTGTACCAAAAGGTCACGTTGGTTATTTATCCGTACTCTTTTTGCTAAGTTGCTTAATTTGTAAAATTTTATAAAAAAATAATTGCTTCCACTTTACAACCAGTTCGGGGACTAAATTGCCCCCGTTAATCCTTGGAAAAGTAAAAACACACAGTCCCCTGCTGAATGTAGACGACAGCAGCCCTTGACGGACTTGAAATATTAACGGACACAAGGGCAGCTGTCATGACAAAATTCACGGCCGGGCGGGATGCTCCTTCCTCCGGCTCAGTTCACCGTGAAACAGGTCGACACCTTGCATTGTACACGAACGAACAATTTCCAAGTTTAACTATTAACATCGACTGTCGGAAAATCAATAGCAGAAGGTAGATAGGGGTGAGTGGCACAGCAACAACTTTTGCAAGTTCTTTTCAGAAGAGTATGTTGAGGTACAAGACGATCCAACCGGCCATGGAGAAGATGGCGAATATATGCACCCAGAACAGGACGGCAGCTGCCTCTCTTCCGCAGCCTCTTAAATTTGCAACAGCACCTGCGGACAAGGTTTGATGTGTTAATATGAAACTTTGAAGTACAGTCGAGCTATCTATATAATTTAAGATTGTTACCAGAGAGGACAGATGTAGGCATTGTGTGCTGAAGCAGCAGGACAAACCGGAACATCTGGTCATTGGCAGGGAGGAAGCCGAGCTTATCAGCTAACATTACAACGCCAAGTCCTACAGGGGGCACCAAGACTAATCGTGCGAATATAATTGCAGCAGTTGTTCGTAGACCAAGTTTGGAACTTCCTGGACCTGCAAATAACAAAGAGATGTCATGACATATTCATCTAAATCCAAACAAATTAGGTGGATGCTTATGACGAAGGGATGTCAACTCACCATCAACAAGGTTGCCACCTAACGCCAACAGAATGCATGGAATCATGGCTTCCCTGATAATCACCAATATTGTGAGATTCTTATCACAAATAAAACATGAAATTCAACAGAATCCACAAAAGTAACTTTTATTTCCGTAGGCATCTATCACAAACATATTTGACAAGAAAAAGGTTATAGGAATTGTAAGTCCAACGTTTCCGCTATATTACTACTAAAGTTCATCAATATTCCAAGTTGCAATTTCTCGATATAGATTATACTAACTTTGATTCATCTATCAATATCAAAAAACACTGGTTTATCTATCAGCGTCAGCATTCTTAAACAGGAGAAATACAAACGAAATTTAATGGGAAAATATAGCAAATTAATAACCAACAGCATGTGGATTGAAGACAACCACCAAATATTATCAGCTAACACGGAGTATAAGATTCAACTGAGCATACCCAAGGATAATGCAGCTGTCGGTGAAGAAGAAAAGTGGACCATCAGATGTAAAGATCAATTTCTTTAAAAATGGTATGGTTCCAAGTGCCATGGCCAGGATCTGCAGCAAAATTGTGCATACTAATTAGAATCTGCTCGTCTTAACGCTCCAAATGATAAAATTCAATAATAAATAGTTATAAAATTAGTTTGGAGGATAAATCAAACTTACAGAAGCTATTATAGGTGGTTGAAGAACTTGTTTGAGCTTCAACTTCTCATAGATGAATACGAAGAACTTTGTAATCTGCGACGAGTCAGGACATGTAATTAGGAACATAGTATATAATAGAGACAACAACACAATAAAGCAGTGAAGTGAAGTAAAAATCTCAACTTTCAAGTTCGAAGCTGTTAAAATTCATGGATCTATATATCTAAGCGATAGAAAGTTGAATAACTTTAAGCTGCCTATCTTTGCTATCAATTTTTTTCCCCAACAACATACCTCCCATCTTGCCAAAATAAAATGTATCCCTTTTCTCTTTTTAGAAGGATGAAATATTTTGCATCAGGACAGGAAGATGTTTAGGACTAGATGTGGATGACTAAATTCATTCTTACCTTAGGCTTATTTGAAGCATTCGACTCAGTTTCTGCAACCTCTTCTTTGCGTGCTGTCTCTTCTTCATTTTCGTCAGGTGTAAGCAATGGAACTTGATCAGGTGTCGTGCCATTTCGAGGGCTTTTGATTGGGAGTTCTTTTTCCTCAATGTCAAAGGTACCTTCTGGAGGGGGGGACAGCATTTGAAATACATACGTGTATAGAATGATTGCACCAACCTATAGCGGCATCAGCAATAAGCTACAATGTTAATACCTTATCATTTATAATTTAACTAATGCACCCGAAAATCTTATGTATTGCATCACTGCATAATTGCAACTTGGATTCAAGTATACAAGCTGTGGGGATCAAAAGTGAAACGAAAATTACCCACTGGCCAAATGAAATATAGGCAGTCCCATCTGTTTTACATGTGGTTGAATCACCGAAAGGGTTCGATTGGTCTCTACATAAAGCTGAAATTAGAACCAGTGGCACATTCCCGATGTTTCCTGTAATCAATGGTATTAGCCAACACATTATGCACAAAGACCAAGCAGCAAAAATGCAGCTTATATAGAAACTCAATGCTAAAATGTATTGAAGGGGTTTTTCTAATTTGTTAAAACTATTGATACAAGGGTTGTCAAAAAGCATACCTATACCAATTTGTACAATTGTAAACTTGAAGAAAGGGTACGGTGGGTGGACAAGGGATGCAACAATATAACCTATTATGGAGCCTGTAGTGCTACCAAGCACGACATTCACGGGAATAAACCACCTGTAAAAGGAGAAATTTCTAGTTCAGAAATAATGCATTGGGATTTTGGCTACGTGGAACAAGATCCAATTTTGCATCATTCCTTGGTTCGGGCCGAAGAAGCAATGTCACAGTAGAACTAATCTTACCACTCAAGCATTTTCTGTAGGGTGATGGCTTGTCCAAGCTGAGAGAATATCAAACATGGAAGCAAGAGCGAGAAGACCAACTGCAGAAAATAGTTGGAAAATCAGTTATACAATGCAACAAAAATGTGGCTTATAGTGCAAAATTGCTACGGGCTCGTTTGGGACTGCTTCTGCTTATAAGTTCTTCTACTAGAAGTGCTTTTATTATAAACATGTAGAGCTTTTATTAAAACTCCAAGTGCTACGACCAAGAAGCACTTCAAACTTTTTCTCCCAAACATAATCAAAAGCGCTTTTGGTTGTTAAAAAAATAAACTTAGTCATTCCAGACGCAATCCCAAAAAGTCGCTAAAGCTTGGGAGGTGACAAGAGGGTTTTTCTTACCCCGTTCAACAATTTCCTTCCACTGGCTGGGAAGATGTTCACATACTTGGAAGCCATTAGAAGCCCCAAGGAGCAGACAGTAAAAACCTTTGCTATGGGAAGCACGGCGATCTTGATTGTCCCAAGTAGCGATTCCCCTCCCGCTTGATTCACCACTTGCACTGCCGCCAAAATCCTCTCCATGGTTTCCCCTCAAGTTTCTTTTACTGCAGTGTCTTCAATAATCCCAATTCACACAAATTCCTTCTCATGCAAAACCCGAACCGGGTTTTGGCACAATTCAATTCTCGATTCAGAATAACACCCCCTGAAATTACAATTCCGGATTGTAAAAAGGGGGATTTTAAAAAATCCCTCCTTTTTCCGGTGAATCCTCTCTTGCACTGCAAATTCCTTCCATCAACAAAAACAGACACAAATAAGAAAACACCCACCATCTTAAATATCAAATCCCAGATAAAATCCTAGTGTCATTGTCGAAATATAACTCCTTGGACGCAACAAAACAAACATTATCCAAATCGACATAGAATTAACGTAAACCTAATCAAATTAGAAGATATAAAACCATGTGCAACAAGGATCCCCAAAAATCCCAACCTACATTGTAGTGTTCATCAGGCGGTCTAGCTGCCACGGATCCCCCGGCGAATTCGCAGCAGCCAAACCCTCTAGCAATCGGGAAAAAGAACCAAAAAAAAAAAAAAAAACAGAAAAGCTCAACCCAAAAATAAATATAAATAAATAAACAGAAGACAAGATGTCAAGAACAACGTAGGAAATGGAGAAATGAGGAATCCGAGATCGAAAAAAAACCTACAAATCAAATTAAAACAAGAACAAAACAAAGAAACTGAGAATTTGGGTCGTCTGAGTTTACCTACTCTTTTGCTTGCTGTGCCTCTCTCTCTCTCCCGCTCTGGTTTGGTGGCAGTTAAGCTAGCGGTTTTGCCACCGCCCACTCAAAAGCTTCTGCTTCTCTAATTTCCGATTTATATATTAAATTCTGATTGATTTTTAGTTGTTCTCTTAATATCGGGTTTCTGAAACTCGGAAACGTCGACGGCTCACTCAGCAATTTGTATGGTACGGCTTGGCTGACGAAACTGCCCCTCGGTGTTTCCATGTATTACCGATCTCGCCCTTCCATACTTACCCTTCCCGCTTGACCGTGAGGAACTCTAGGATTCCCTACCAAGTTACCAACGAAACTTCCACGCACCTGCATGTGGTCCTCTTTTTTGGAGTCGTTCAATTTTCGTTTTTTTTTATTTGTTTTTGTTTTTGTGGTAAAGAGCAAATTTGAGTTGGATTTTCTATTTTATCATGAAAATAAAAGTTGGAGATTTTTATTTTTATTTTTAAAGAAAGTAAATTTCTTGACATGGATCATGAAGTTTTTTTATTTTTTATTTTTTTTAAGTGTAAGTTTAGGAGAGCGTGGGTCATCCCATCTCAGAATCAAAGCATATTACAGGTCTTTTTGATGGCTTACAGTGAAGATTTTAGATTTTTTATTTTTATTTTTATAAATCGTTCATCAAAAAAGATTGTCAGCATCGAACTCGCACATTAATTTTGATTTAGGAAAGAAAACTGATTATTACTAATTCACATGCCCTGGTTGGCTAAATGAATCATGAAGTTATCACATCATTTAATTTGTCATATGTAAATCATTCGGCTTGTCACATCGTGAAAGGTTAGGAGAGTTGCCTTGCCTTGCGGGTCTAGTCTTGCCTTCATTAATTACAATAACAGAAAGATAGACCCGGTTTCTCTGCCCTTCCAATTTTCATACATTTTCATCTCCTTCTATTTTGTACGGTCACGGTTAAGCCACGTCAATATTTTATATTGATTGTTTTTATAGAAATAATAAGACAAAAAATAATAATGATATAAAATGTTAACGTAATTTAACTGTGACTGCACAAATAAGAAGGAATGCGAGCATATGAAAACTTGAGGGCAGAGAAGCCAGGTCCTCGAAAGATTTGCGTGATATATGATGATATGACACAACTTACTAGCATTTTGTAGTGTTCTCATTGATGTGAACGAGAAACTCATCTGTCTAAGCAAGCTTATCTTCTTTTCTTTTTAAAGTGCCAAATACCCCCTTCCCTTAACTATCACAAAATTGTCAATTATTTTCTGAACTCTTTTTTTCGTCGATCCCTCTAAATTAGTAGAAAGCTGCCAATTATCTCTTGCCGTTTGATTTTAGAGAATTTTATCTAAATTGCCATTTAGTGGTGCTATGTGAGAGACATGTAATATAGTTTCAAGGACAAACATGAAATTCAACTCGGAAAAACAGTAAGATTTATGAGAATTTCATCCAAATAATTCGAGAGAAAGGAGTAATTGACATTCCTGTGATAGTTCGAGGTAGCACTAGCTAGATGTTATGTCACCAGAAGACATTTCACGTTGGTATTGTTTGGATACAACAATTAATAAACAACATTTCTTCCCAATAATGTGAGTAACATCATCTAGAAGAAGTAATTTAAAGCATATCTAATGGGAGCTTTATAACCTAAATAAATTGATAATCTTGAGTTAAAATTGAAAGAAAAAAAAAAAAAAAAAACTTCGAGCCCAACAAAATTTGCTTTGTCAAATTAAAGGTTAGGCACCTTGGGTTGCCAAACTAACCTCCGATGCCCAACATGGATATGCTCTTAGATTTTGAAAATCCTTATGCCTAGCTTTGTCTCGTTTAACTTTTAACCAAAAAAATCTTAATTATTGGTTTTAGGATTCCTCTTGATTAGTGGTTAATTAAAAAACCTTAACAAATGATGAAAGGATAAACGTTTCACCTAGAAGTCTAGACTAGTAGAAATGTCGGTCCCTGGCTGTATTTATAGGGACGTAAAAGGTGATCGTTTGAAGGGTAGTTGGTTGAGGAGGAGAGATTTTTCAGTGCGACAAGAATACGAGATGGTACATCATGTGTTATTGTGCAACTGGTGGGATATGTGTGTTAAAAAGTTAATAACTTAAAAAATAAAATGTTCCACCACTTATATAAAAACACGTGATGTACCACTCGTGTTCCGGTTACAATAAAAAATTTCTCGTTGAGGAGGGTGGGGAGAGAGAGGTTTAGAAGTTGTGGAGTAGGTGCTGATATCTTATAAATTTTGATCATTTCATGTCATCTTAAATATAAGGAAAATAAAATTAGAACGATACAGAGATGATTAGTATGGCCCCTGCGTAAAAATAACACGTATAAAGTGAGAAATGGTCAAAATTTTCTTGTTTAAAAAAAAAATATAAAGAAAAAGGAGCTTTGGAATGGTTGTTGAGGAATGGGGACGATGACCCCTCCCTTCAACCAATTATTCATATGTTAGGCCGTTGGATATATATATATATATATATATATATTGTTGTATTGTGTCAGCTGGAAATATTAATAATAAGAGGAAAAAAGCCTTACAAAAAATTAAAATTCAACAAAAATATCAGATTCAGATCAAATCGAAAAAGAAATGGCAATAAGTATATACATATATCTATAGAAGATGAAGTCACGTACATGGGTTGAGGACAAACAATGAAACAAAATGAACTACTCTTTTTTGGTACCTAGGGTTTTTACTCGACTAGTTTCCATGCAATAAGCTTTTGGAATCTCCTCCACATGATAATCGTGTTCCGATCGAGTACCCTTGCACACTCAGTTGACTCGACTTAAACGAACTAGGGTTTCGTGTATATGATGAATGCTAGCAACTTTTGTATTTACTTTGTATTTCAACATTTTCAGCTCTCGTGACTAACATAAATTAATGTTATTAGGAGAAGGAAAGAATTGGAGAACTTAAAATTTTGGAAATGAGAAAGCAGGGAAAGAGAATCGTATCAATTTCTCATCTTAGTTATCTAATTCCTATTTTTATATATATTTTATTATTTTTTAGAAAAAACTCGACGGTAGAAGGAAAATTTTATTAATAACGAAAAAAAGAGGTACAATTAGTTAGGCTCATAATACAAGAAAGAAGGATAAAAAAATAAATGAAAAATAAGGGGAGACATAAACCTTATCCTTATAGAAACAAAAGTAACAAAGATACGAAGGAAAGAGGGAGGACATGAAACCTAACCCCTCTAAAGGCTAACCTAAAGGTCTAATCTATTTTTTAGACATACTGATCTAACACCTTTTCAATTCTATGTGTTAACTTAGTGTTCATGATTTTGATTTTAGGGCTTAACTTCTCACTAGACCATGCTGAGTGACACTATCAATCACTTAAAACTTCTCATCTGGTAAGCCTTGATTATAATTTTTAACATATATTCATTTTTAAAACTCTCATAATTACTATTCTTCTTAATTAATCTACAACATTGATTCATCTAATGACTCATGGTTTTTTCCTCTTTTTATCCCACTCTTTTTTTCTTTCATCTCAAGTTTTTTCCCTTCCCCGGTTTATTGTTTGTGTCCAGAATATTTTTGCAAATCTTGCACATCTAGGGTCATTTGGCGTCCTAGTTCCAGGGTATTGATATGGCAACTCCACACAACATTTCAACATTTGACTCGCAATCTTTTTCAGGGAAAACACAGACATATGTAATCTTTACTGGAAATAAATAAAGACCCTTAACTGAGTAACATATTGGGCACTAGTGAAATACCAATTTCTCAATGATGTTAGTTTTCTTTTGAATGACTAATGAAATCATCTATCTATATATTTTTCAGTCTTCCATTTGGCTTTGGACTTTTTTCATTGGAAATTATGAACAAAATTTCGTTTTAAAATGCTTCATATCAGAGAACTTGCAATTGTTTGCTTCCAATGATATAAAAAGTTGGGGGTTTTCCTTTTTGCAGAATTTTTTGAAAAAAAACTAGAAACAAAGTGAGGGAAGAAAAGGGAAGAATGACTGTTACCACCGGAAGTGGGAGAGGGAGGGAGGAACCTTATCATATCATCTGTAAAAGAAGACATGAATCTTATTTAAGCAAGCTCACGGTCATTTGGATTCATGACATGCAATTTTGTCATCAGTAAATCTGATTTGTAAATTCTCTTCCACATAAAGTGGATGACAATCAAATCCGAAAACAACATGAGAACTCTTCCTTTCCAGCACTGCATGCTTCCCATCCCCACAATACTATTGCTCCACGTGGACCCAACTGTCAACTATGGAGGAATTGAAGAAACTTAGGGAAGAAGAAAGTAGTGTGAACAAGAGAATTAGAGAGAGTGTGCAATATGATATTGTAATAGACAATGACTTGATGAAATTATTACATGTTGTATAGTAATAACCCTCATTTTCCTATTACAAAATTACCCTTAGCACTCTTTGCTTATTACAATAATACCCTTAACAGATTTAACCAACTCGCAACCAACTAACTAATTCAACTAATACACTATTGACATTTGCCATATGAATATTACTCCCATTACTCCCCTCCCCCCTTCTCAATCATAGCTGAGGAAACATTGTGAAGTTGTGGTTGAACAAACAAATCGACAATAGAAAAAAATCAGAATGGAGTAACAGAAGCTGCAGCACCATGTTTGACAGATCTCAAACCAAGATTGTGACAGTGTTTATTGAACACAGGACTATGTAAGCGCTTAGTAAAGACATCTGCAACTTGCTCTTCAGTAGGAATGTACCGGACTAAAATATCACCATTTTGAACCTTCTCTCATACAAAATGGTAATCGGTATCAAGATGTTTAATCTTGGATCGAAACACAAGATTAGAGCAGATTGCAAGTGCAGATAAATTGTCACATTGCAAGCAAGGAGGAGAAGGCAAACACTAATTGAGATCTTTTAGTAAAGACCGAACCCTAGACACATTTGTAGCATAGTGAGCTAAAGCTTTATACTCTGCCTCAGTTGAACTTCTAGAGACAATTGATTGTTTCTTAGATTGCCATGATATATGATTAGAACCTAGGAAAATCACATAGCCTGTAATTGATTTCCTTGTGTTTATATCGGCTGCCTAATCAGAATCAGAATAAGCATTGATGGATAATGCTGTAGACTTGGTATACCTCAACCCATAAGTAATTGTCCCTTGTAAATATCGAAGTATCCTATTTACTAAGTGAAAATGAAGATTAGTAGGTTTGGTCATGAATTGGCACACCATGTTAACAGAATGTGCAATATCTGGTCTTGTAAAAGTCAGGTATTGCAAGGCCCTGAATATGCTTCTATATTGTGTAGGATCGCTAAAAGGAGTACCTTCCACATCAAGTAACTGAGCATGTGGTTTATAAGGTATGGACTTAGGTTTACACTAATCCATACCTACTTTAAGTAATAACTCATTTGCATACTTTGACTGACTAACAAATAGAGAGCCATCATCTTGATACTGAATGTGAAGACCCATAAAGTAAGTAAGAGGTCCTAAATCTTTGAGATCAAACACCTCAGCCAAAGTTGTAATCACATATTGAACTTTTGAATGGAGGAACCAGTCAAAATGATGACATCAACATAGAGTAAAAGGATAATAATATTTCTATCATCTTCTTTGACAAACAAACTAGTATCAGACAAAGATGTTTTGAAACCCAGAGAGGGTAAGTAGCTAGTAAACTTTGAATTCCATGCTCGATGAGCTTGCTTCAAGCCATAAAGAGATTTTACTAAACTGCAAACATGATGGGGATAAGTAGGATCTATAAATCCCTGAGGTTGTGCCATATAAACTCCCTCTTCAAGATCTTCATGCAAAAATACATTCTTAACATCTATTTGTCTTAATTTCCAACCAAAATGAGTAGCTAGAGCAAGAATTAATCGAACTGTTGTGTGTCAAATTATTGGACTAAATGTCTTAAAATAGTCAAAACCAGGCTGTTGACTATAGCCCTGAGCCACGAGTCTAGCCTTATATCTCGAAACAAATCCATCTGGAACCTTGAACACCCACTTACTTCCAATAATAGTCCTATCGGAAGGAACATGAACCAAATACCAAGTACCCTGTGCTTGTAGAGCATTAAATTCCTCCTGCATAGTTGCCCATCATTGTGGCTTAGAACTAGCAACCTTGAAAGTTTTAGGTTCATCAACATCACCCATATCAGCTAAGAAAGAAAATCCTTTAGTGAAGTCATCCAAGGATTGAAAAGAAGTCAATTTAGGTTAGGAACTAAGATAAGCAACATAATTTTGTCTTTGAATGACACCAGTTTTCAATCTAGTTTGAATACCTGAAGATCTAGTGTTTGGCACATTGTAAATATCTACTTGTGATATAGAAGACTGAGCAATTGGTAAGATGACCTAAAGTTGAGCAAGATCGAGGACATGAAGCAAATGAGGAGTATCAGTGGATGAAGAAAGAGTAAGACTTGAGAACCTTATGTTTCAAACTCATGACCAAAAGAGTTAGACATCTGTTGACCTTGTAGATGCCTTGTATTGACTAGAGTAGAAGAAGTAGAAACATGAGGCACACTTGTAGCTGAGTTTGAAGTGCTAGTTGTATGAAGTGAGATGTCAGGTTGAAATTCCCTTGTAGATTGAGAAACTGGAATAGGTATGAACACTGATAAAGTATTTGAGGAATTAGTATAATCACTGTTTATATGTGCTGACCTTGGCAAATGAACTTTGTAAGGAAAAACAGAACCATCATATATCACATGCCTGGAAACAATGCATTTTCTATAATGTTTGTCAAAATACACCACACCTTTGTAACCTGGAGAATAGCCCAAGAAAACACACGTCTAAGACCTAGATTGCAGTTTGTTGGCATTGTAAGGTTTCAACCAAGGGTACACTGCAGTGCCAAAGATCTTTAGTGAAGTCAAATCAGGTTGCTTCCCATATAATAAACCATATGGAGAAGATATGGATAAAAACTTACAAGACATACGATTGATAAAAAAAACTGAATGACCACAACCAAAGTACCAAAATTCTAAAGGAAAACTAGCTGCAGTGAGTAGGGTAATAACTGTCTCCACAATATGCTTATGCTTTCTCTCAGCAATTCCATTTTGCTGAGGAGTATAAGGGCAAGATAACATATGTGTAAGTCCTTTGACAACAAGAAATTCTTTAAAAGCTTTACTGGTATACTCTCCCCCTCCATCAGTTTGTAAACACTTCAAAGACTTGCCAAATTGATTCAAAACAAAGTAGTAAAACTTTGTAAAAATACTATACACATCAGACTTGTGCACATTGGATATACCCAACTGTATCTTGTATATTCATAAACAAAGATTACATAATATCGATATCCATCTAAAGAATTTACAAGTGATGGTCCCCACACATCAGTGTGAACCTTATCAAAAGGAAACAAACAATGTTCAGTCCTAGATGGAAAAGACATTCTTGACATGTTACCCTAAAGACAAGAAGTACACACACTGTGCTTATCATCTATATTATTCTGAATGCTAAACTGCTTAATCATACAAGATTATATTTCATTAGAATGATGCTCCAACTTCTGGTGCCACCTAGTTGACTTCACCATTTGTCCTACCAAAGCAGCTGATCCCATAACTGTAGACTATACTTCTTTAGTTTGATTAAGAACTAGAATTTGAAACAATTCTTTGATACATGACCTCCCTTGTCTTCTTGTCTTGCACAAAGAAATTAGACTCATCACAAATGAACCAACTCTTGTTATCTGCACAAAGTTGTTTAACAGACAATAAACTTCTTGCAATATGTGGTACATATAGAACATTGTTCAAAATAACTGAATGATCTTTGGTCTTGAAAGTAGTGGAGCCAATGCTCTTGATGGACATATTTGCACCATTACCAATTATGATCTTCTCATTGCCTTCAAAATGAGCAACTTGTGACAAGCTACTGACATTTGCAGTCATATGGTGGAAGAAACCTGAATCGACAATCCAAGCATCACTAGGATAGACTTGAGAGGTTTGTTGAGTTGCTATTGCTGTCATGGATGATGGAGGTGATTGACTCTGATAGGCATGGTTTCCCCTATGATAACACTCAAGTGCAGAATGACCTCTTTTGCCACAGATTTGACACTCAATCAAATAGCCAGAAGAAGGACTAGAAGTGTTCCTGTGAAAACAATTAGATGTTGTGTGTCCCTTTTTATTGCATATATGACATTTAATAACAGTGTGCATCCTTGCTTCAGTATTACCAGACCAACTTGTATTCATATTCTGCTTAAAACCCCTATAATTGTAGTTTCAACCTTTGTACCCAGTATTGTTCTTATTTGTATGAGAACCCCTGAAATTTGGCCCATTGAAAGATTTAGAACCTGAACCAAACCCGGAATTAGATGGTGGAGGCTTAAGTCCAGAGTTACCCACAAAACCATAACCAAAATGAGGTAATGGAATATATGGAGATTGAGAAGAATAACCAGGGAAGAACTGCTAAGGATACATAACATAGTCAGGTTGAAAGGTAGAAGCATTAGGATTTTGTGGAGTAAGTTGTGAAGACCCATATGGAATCTGAGTAAGAACACCCCCAATACTTGTAGGTATATGGCTGTGATTCTATGAATTAGACGATGAGCCATTGGACAAAGAAGACCCTACACCAGACCCTTGTACATATAAAACAGATAAGCTATGAGATAAAGAATTAATCTCCCATTCAATCTCATTTTTAGCCCCAAGTAATTGAGCTCTAAATTCCTTCAAGGTAAGAGTAGAGTCCTTAGCTAAAATGACAGTTCTAATAATTGCATATTCCTTAGGTAAACCAGCCAAACCAGCAATGATTACATCATTATCCGACACAGGTTCTCCAGTAGCAATTAACTGATCCCTAATGTTTTTAATCTTGAGAAGATACTTGTCAATGGAATCAGCACATTTCTATATGGTATGCAATTCTGTTTTAAGATGATTTACCCTGGACTTAGACACAGACGTATACCGATCAACAAGATTAAGCCAAGCTTCATTAGCAGTTCTACACCTAATAACATATTCCATGGCTTCATCAAACAGAGGTCATATCTATAGACTCCCATTCAAGATATGCATATGTAACTTCCTTAGTAACACCAAGATCAGTAGTAATGACAAATTTTAATGGACAAACTATAGTCCCATTTTGCACAAATTGAAACTGAAAAGCCCATTTTGCAAAATTATCATGTCTCAATTTGATAGTAAGCATACCCAAAAGACCATCGATTTTAATAGTTGAAGAATTCATGTTTACTCCACACTCACCAAAATGCACAATTTGCAAGAAAATAGGAGATTAAAACTCCATAACAACTCAGATACAATTCGCATATAACAACATCGGTGTAGAAAGAATGAAACTTTCGTACCCCACAAGAAAGATTGATACTTTCTTGAATCAAACAAATAGTGCAACCCAACAATTATATCAACATTTAACTGCTTTACAATCAAACAATTCCCCCAAAATTATGAAAGAACCCTAAATCTTGAACAAGATTCACAACATCAAGAATGAACAAAAATGATCGACCAACACGAATTGAACATAAACGAATAACAACGAGTGAATTGATATCACCTGATATGATCCCCAGTATAGAAATCGCAAAACCCCTTCACAATTGATCACCAACTTTAACCGATCGCAGAACCACGACGCTTAGAATCCCACTTCAATTACGTAGCACATCCAAGGAAGAAAACAGAGTAACAAAAAATACCTCAAGACCGAGAACGGCGACTAGCCATACCGACGATGATACCATGTTAACTATGGAGGAATTGAGGAAACTTAGGGATGAAGAAAGTAGTGTGAACAGGAGAATTAGAGAGAGTATGCAATATGATATTGTATTAGACAATGACTTGATGAAATTATGACATCAAGAGGTTATATAGTAATAACCCTCCTTTGCCTATTACAAAATTACCCTTAGCACTCTTTGCTTATTACAATAATACCCTCAATAGATTTAACCAACTCTCAACCAACTAATTCAACTAATACACTATTGACATCTGCCATATGGACATTACTCCCATTACCAACGTCACCTAATTTAAAGATGTCTTCAATTTTGAGCAAAGCCAGTGAGAATGGGGTTTCTCAGTCTCAATTTACTTGAGAACTGAGCCAATTAATGTCTCATGCCTTGTGACACGTATGGTAGGGTTTTCTGGAGCTCACCAAGTTACCGATCAAGGCATGGAATATGACTAATTTAATTGAGATCATGTGAGTTTCACTTTGATTCGTTGTTTATTTTCCATCCTCCAATATAAATACGTTTGTTGTCTTAGTAGAGTCAAATTTTTATTTATTTTGAACATCTCTCATTTCTTAATTACGGTATTTTCATGTTTTGACCATAAAAGAAAATTACAATATTATCATGTTTATATTATTTGTGCCTAAACCGCTTATATGATAAATTGATAATGCCTGACTATGTGAGATACTAATATGATTAGGGCTTTTTTTTTTTTTTTTTTTTTTTTTTTTGTGGCAGTGGTATAAAAGCTTATTCCAACAAAAAAAAAAAAAATAGTGTAACAGCCTTCCGATCACGAAATATTACTAATCATGTTGATGAATTAGGTAACGAAACATTGTTAATCTCTTATATATAAAGCCAGAGTTCAATTTGAGGTCACGGCTTCGACAAAAAACAATAGGACAAAATTGCCCCTCAACCAAAAGAATCCATAAGCATCCCAATATAATATATCAAATAATGCATGGGTAATTTGGTAATTTGGTCATCATAAATATATAATATAAATATAAGTGGGAAGAGAGAAAAGAATAAAAAAATGGAAGGATGAGTGAAAGTTGATGATGCTCACGTGAAAGGGAAAGAAAAATATAATAAAAAATAAGGAAAATCATGAATGTTGTGTTCAAAACATCTTAAGAGACGTGTGTAATGCCGGTTATAAAAAAGATTTTTCGGACGCAGATAATAATGTGATTAAATAAGTTGTCAAATGATTTTTTTTTTTTTAACAAACAATATTATCTACACTAAGGGAAAGGGGGTGAGTTTAGCCTCACAATGGACTAGCAATAATGTGATTCAATCAGCTGTTTATTAAATATTATTTTCTTTATAAAAAAAGTCTTTCGCATGTGGATATTAATGTAATTAAATTAATTGTCAAATGATTCTATTTTTTTTTAACAAACGATATTATCTACACTAAGGGGGATGAGGTGGGTTTAGCTTCACAATGAGCTAACAATAATGTGATTCAATCAATTGTTTATTAAATATTATTTTCTCTATTCTTGATTTAAATTACATAGAAACCGATTTTATTATGTGAATTCAACTGCTTTAATTGGTTTATGAGGAGTTTCTTCTAGCATGATCTAAAATTATTCATTTACTTCAAATATTTGACCTTTTTTTTTTGTTAATTTATGCATATAAATACATTTAAAACGTGTAAGTCGTGCGTAGCACACCGTGATTAAAAAAAAATCATGAAGGCTAGTCATATGAATGGAGGATATATAGGTGATATATATTTCATGAACTAATACATGATAATTGGTAAATAAAACCAGCGGCCAGCATCAATTGCCTAGATAGTGTTGGCGAAAAATATAAATTTTAATGTTGTAGAGTTCTATGTGCAGTGCGAGTGAGTTTAATAATATTCTTCTCTAGATAAATTTTTTTTTTTTTGGGTGGGATAAGTTCTAAGATATTACTGTTTCTTGGCATATGAATGTGATCATGGCATTCTACACAAATACGGCCCCCTATAATAAGCTTACAGCGAAAGTGCGTGATGGATTTGGCTTTTTGTTTACACTTCCATGGGGCCAGAATAAGTGCTATATATTTGTCATCAAAAGACCCAAAAATATCTTGGTCTCCTTCCGAGTTATATCATAAGAAGTGGCAGCACCAACATAAGAGTTTGTGGCTGCTGGCTTAATAAGAGTAGTGTTATTCACACATCTATTTTTATTTCTTACATATTTCGTTTAATTTTTGGCCATCCAAACAATAAATTAAGGAATATCAATGACTTCATGATAAAATATGAGTAAAAATGAATATATAATTAACACTATCCTAATCTAAAGCTTAGAGTGAACAAGATACATTATTCTTGCCCAAAAAGAAACAGGAATAATTAACATCTGTCGCTCCTGGACAATGCTACCGGCCGAGGTCGGACGTCAAACAAAACAAATCTGCGCCTGAGAGTTCTGCCACACTGCTTTTCTGCAACAGGAAGCTTCCTTTTTCGGCTTTTAGCTTTTGCAAGTGGCGAAGCACAAAAGCTATTCCAGTTTTGGCTAAAAAAGTGGCTTTAGGTTTTACTTTTTTACTACTTAAAAATGTGGTTTTAGGTCCAATTCATCAATAACAATAACAAAAAACAACATTATAATTTTTCAATCGAAATGTCAAATCTTATATGGCATAACATGGAAATACATCAGGAGGGGTTGCTGTGAAATTTGACAGCAGCTTCAAATAATTTTTAATTAATTACTAAATCTTCTATTAAATTTTTTGCCCTCTCTTGCTCTACCCATCTTCCTGTTGAACCAAAGCCAAGCTCACAAACTGCAATCACAAAGAAAATCTTTGATTTTCCATCTATCACACACTACGTAGGCCAATTTCGACTAAAAAAATCATTGCTTTCGAAAACCCCCAAATTGAAAAACCCTAGTCTCCACCAAATGTGAATCCAGCACCTCCACAATGCGCCAATGCCCAATCCAACTCACAGAAGATGACTTGTGCCATAGACGAAGCGGGTGGAAGCAACATCGGCGATGGTGGAGGCTGATTTCATAGAGTGCAAGCAGAGCGTGACCTAGAATCCAATTGGAAACTCAATCTTGTACAAAAACTCGAAGAGCATCCGGGTGGAAGCAACCAGAGCGTGACCTTGAATCCAATTGGGAAGTCGATCTCGCACAAAAACTTGAAGAGTTTTTGCTCAAGATTTGCTCCGGTGAAATGCCCACTGAAGCAGAAGGCCATGTTGCTGTTATTTTTGCAGAAGGTGTTCCTTTTACTTCAAACTACTATTTTTCTATTAATTTAATGTTTCTTTATAATATAAAACAGATCTTCACCAATATATATATATATATATATATATATAACAAAAATAAAGAAAATAAAATAATGTAATAAAATAATAATGTAATTTTACATATCGGTGGAGAAAAAAAAATTTAAAATGTCAAAGTGCCACATAAGCTGTCAAATTAAAATTTTTTGTTGAAAATTTTATTGCTAATTACTTGATTAGGAGAAAGATTAAGAGTTAAGAAATGTTCTATACTTAGCCTTGTTTATAACCCAAGAAAGTTTTGCTTTGCTTGTACATGGAATATTGATATGATTTTAATTAACTACATAATATGCATTACCCCAGCTGAAGTCGCTCAAGGTCAGATATGGAAGTACATACTTTTGCCAATACTTATATTATTCTCGGGAGGTCAAATCTGCTCTTATAACATTTTCTTTTGCTATTTGAAAATCTCTGTAACTAATTGATTGATTTAACTTTTAATTATAGGATACAATAGTCATTGCCCACCTTTTTTTTTTTTTATCGGTGGTGATTTACACACTCGTTCTATCCATTTACATTCTTTGTCACTTATTTGTTTCTATGCTTTGGTATTCAATAAATCAGAGAAGAATTAAAACATAAAAATAGAAGTGGGCTGCAGATTTACAACACGAGAGTGTGAAAATCGATACATTTTCCTTTTTTTGGGTTAGTCTAGCTTCTATGTCCAAACCCACCCAAAAGAGTACTAATTGTGCTGAACAAGTTGGTATTAACGAAGCCCAACCCAGTAGACGTTAATAATTGGGCTGGTCTTAGCCCAAGCCTTGCTAAACATTTTCAGGGGAGGAAATTATATGCAAGAAGAGGCTAATGCTTATAAGTATACGCATATGCATTGCCTCTTCGGATCGATAAAAATTTATGTGGGGCTTGACTTAACATTGAATTTTGTTACATAATCTAATAAAAACTTGTCACATGGTAAAGTCTCAAGTATAATATTTTATCATCTTTTATTATTTAAAACTCTTATAATCAATTTTCATACTAATTAATATACACCATGAAATTAATTTAATGTTTCATTCTCCTCTCTCTCCATTTTCTTGACCGTCTTTTTTCCCATTCTATGTCTTTCCTTTGTTCATAAGAATATGGAGAAAAATATTTCATTGCCTAGCACTGTGACTTGCATACATTCTCAAATAATAAATAAATAAATAAATTTGTTGATACAGAATGTGACTTGCATAAATTTGTTGAGCGATATTTCATTGCCCAGCACTGTGACTTGCATAAATTTAATTACATGATGCATTGAGATTTTGTGCACTTGAGATCTAGCTGGGTTGTCTCCATCGTCATTTGGTGGGGACTTGGGATGCTCACGTCTAGAAATTATTGTGAGGAAGATAAACGTGAGGGAGGGAGGCTCAATATGTGGACCGGTTCCAGTCCCTTTTGAAGGGACATGTAAAACATGGTTTGATATCCCTTAATTCTGAAATTTAGGAGACACGAGAGAAAATTTGGAAAGAAAGAGAGAGGGGAAGAGGAAAAAATTGAAACATTAAATTAATTTTAATTAGTAGGAAAATAGTTATGAGAGTTTTAAATAATAAAAGATGATAAAATATTATACTTAAGACTTACCATGTCGCAAGTTTTTATTGGATTGTAGTGCCATTCAGCCAAATTCAATGGCAAGTTAAGCTCCACACAAGTTTTTCTCCTTGGGATTCTTGATTTTTGCAGAAAAGAAAAAACAGTTTCCTAATGTGAGAGA